TTGGGTTCGGGCTGTGACACCATATCGCTGTCTGAAACATTGCTCTTTACATGTTGTTGAAATGCATCCTCTGTTGGCGGCAGATTTTCCGAGGCTGCATCTGTTGTTGATGTAATTATGAACCTCAGTTCATCCAAGTTTGTGCACATCAGTCCAATTTCCTTTTTCTTTTTTCCATAGCAGAAGCGCAAATTCTCTTGCGACTGGCAAAGACTCTTCCAAGCTGGCAGAGAGTCCAAAATGGGCCAGATCTTTGAGCTCGCTGAGACGGGAAGCGAAAGAACGAGTAAGACCCATTGCTGGTATGATTACAACCTGGTACTAAGCACACAGGCATCTTGTTAAAGTTATCTTATCTTAGCTATCTCTTATATTTAGTGGAGGAAAACAATTATGACATCAGTTATGACATCACTTACGCGACTCTGGGATTTGTAATCTTTCTAGTTTTCTAGTTTCTAGTATTTTTCATAGTCTTATATTTCAACAGTTTTACGACAAACTATGACTTTTTTTACATGGAAATGATTTTTTAAGATTGACAAACATCATATGTGTAATTCGTGGCACAATTCAAACGGGATCGAAAGATACGTTTTCTCTCCCCATTGACTTCAATACATAATTTTTCCGAAATAAGGTCCCATGGGTCGGAAGTAGATGGGCGGGACTTCGCCTCTCTATAGCAAAAGTTGGGCCATTTTGTCTTCATGCGCCAATGAGCAACTCTCATAGGAATGAATGAGGCCCCGCCTCCCACGCTGTATCGAGTTCTTATTATACATCCATGGCGTACCCCCATTTGAGAATCACTGGTTTATATATACAGTCTATGGTTTAGACTGACTAGCTTTGTTCAACAGGAATGACGCAAAAAAAGAAGTACTTCTTTATAAAGAAGTGTTGATAGTTTATGTCACCTCAAAATGTAATAGGCAGGGTCTTTTAATGTTAGTGTCACCTATTTATTTCTACAGTTTGAAAAAAAAAGTTACATATAGAAGAAGTCCTGAAGATGAAGATGCAGAAATTGAAGACGTGATCCAGAAAATTGGTAAATAGTACAGAAGGTCAAACATCCCTGAGAGGATAGTATCCGGAAAACACCTTGCTGATTCACTCCCTGATTATTTATTTTTTTCCTGACAGCTGAAAGCCAACAAAAATTGGTCCATCGTGATCTGAGTAGGAACCAATCAGGGCCAAGATGACTTAAATGTCAAGACCTCTCCTGGCTTTCTTGTCTTATTCCTGCAATCATTCAGCTTGAGTGTTGGATCCAGAGAAAAATCTTTCCACTAATTTTTTCACAATTGATAAGAACTCCATTTAAAATTTGACAGCTGACATTTTAATCTCAACACGGTCAGTCCGCTGTTCTGTTCCTCATCATAAATGAAACCACATTGTCTTATTACAGGCTATCAAGGTTGTGGTGAGACTAAAGGAAGAATGATTATATTTTAGCAGAACAGGTCACAGCTTTCATTCTTTTTTTTGTATAGATGTGACATGAAAGTTTGGAGATATAAGTGTCAAAATATGTTACTGCATCAGAATTTGTAAGCAAGCTCAAAACCTGTTGAGAACCACACTACCTGTGTGCGGTATAGATCAGTTTGAAAAAAGTGCAGGGATTCTGAGGTAATTATTCAGCCAAAAATAATAATTTTGCCCAGAAAAAATGTTAATACCAATGGTCATCAGGAAGTTAACCTCGGCCTAAAGCAGTGCAATTCCAGTGAAATGGTCTATTGATTTCTCATTACTCTTTTCTTAGCCTACTTGAAAGCTTCAGTGGCTCACAGCATTATTCTTTTATAGCTGTGATTCCCAACCTTTTAAATTGTAATGACTTAATGTAAAGCAATGTAGATGTAATGTTTCCAAAAGCCTCTAGGGATAAAACCATACACTGTTTATAACAAATGAGAAATATATTTCATAAAAAGTATGTTTTAACCCTACTTTGTGACATAGCCGCGTTCACACCGGAGTACTTTTCACCGTACTTTTCGCGTTTAGTTCCGTTAGTACCCCTTATGTCGCGTTCACAACAAAAAGAGCACTTAATCTCGGGAACTTTTACCCCCATTTTTAGTGCCTGCTGAGAGATGGTACTTTCCTGGGGGAAAAAAGTGCCCCAGTTCTGATTGGCTTGGCGAATTGCAAACCACGCCCCGTACAACTCTGAAATGTTTTGTAGAGCCGCCATTTTATTATCCTGGCATTAGCATTATTAGCATTAGCATTCGCCCAGTGCGAAGCAGCTTCTACTGAAGCCAGTCCCCAACTCCGGGGACTTCCGGCCGGGGACTCCGGGTGGCAGTATACGCCGTGAAGTTGTTTGCGGCCTGCCAGTAAACCCAAAGCAGAAGAAGACGAAGTGACGTAAGCGGCTCATTTGCGTAATCTTCCCTCAGGGAAAAGTACTCCGGTGTGAACGCGATCTGTACTAAATGCCCTGGGGTAATAAGTGCCGGGGCACTGAGTGCCGGCACTAAATACGGCAAAGTACTTGGTGTGAACGCGCGTTATTTATTTTTCCTATGATTTTAGGTAGGTGATAAAAATGTAGTTGAGTGGTAAGCATTGTACCATTGTAGTCATTTAGCTGCCTGCAGAAGCAAATGTTTAGCAAAAGATATGCTTATGTCTTTTTTGCAGACATTCAAACAAGAATAACAATGTTAAAGGTGCAGCTGTTTTGAAAGATTTACATTTAAAATGCACAATTAATCAAATCAAAGTTTATTTATATAGCCCAATAACACAAAACATGTCTGACTCAGTGGGCTTTACAAATTCACAAACATGAATCACAGTGCTAAAATATCAATACATTTATAGGAAAATAATGAAAAGACAATAGTGTAAAATACAAATAGAAATAAGATGTTCCTGCACTAATCTGCAGCTCCAAAAAAACTCAAAAAAGCAAGTTCAAGAAGGTTAGAGAATAACAAATGTGACAAAAAGCAGGATGACTAATTCCATGGTGGAATGCCGTTGATACAGGATGCCAACATTTCTGAGAGGAGAAATATGTCCCAGTCCACTTTGGGGAGTAGCTGGAGCGACTCACACAGGTGGCAATTCTAGACTTTTTAGAGACTAATTATAGAAGTCCAAGAATAACACATTCAATTGGTTGCTTTACCCCACATGCCACTCAAATGTACTACAATACGTTTTTTCCACATTCCAGCAGATAATTTTTTCCGGATACACGTCTTAGCAACAGATACTGTACAGCGTTCAGCAAAGGAGTTATGTTTTCACATAGTAGCATTATACAACAGCATCAAACTTTACGCCCCCTGCAGGATGTAAAAATGCTGCCCACATACTGATATAACTGTACATAAACCATGACTGAGGGATGTGTTCCAATAAAACCTAACCTAAAGTGTAATAAGGAGAGACGCCCAGTAATGCCTAGAACTCCGGGAGAAATGAACCAATCCCATACATAGCATGATGAGTCACTCTGTCACAAAGAATATTCTCAACAGTAGAAAATGCAAGCACCCATACCCATTAAGGTGATTAAGAGCACTTTATTATGAAGCAGTGAACTTTGATTTATGAGAGCACGATCTATTTTAGAGTTCACCAGTATGTCCTAACCCTACAGTAACTACAACCTCTGGAAATGTGACTCACAGTCTACACTGAGAAGTAGAAAACGACTCAAGGAGTAGTTCAAGGAAATAGAATATTAAAATTATACAAAAAACAAAATATAAGAGATGAAAAGGTAAAGCAGCCCTTTCAACAACAAAGAACATATCATTATGGCATTAGCCGGAGAGAGCTAAGTCATATTTTTGATGTCCTATAATTGAGTGTTTATGTGGACTCTGGTGCAGGTCTAGAAAGCCTCTCTGACCAAAGTGAATCATCTGAATCACGAGTGCTCTGATGCTGCGAGCGAGGTAAAGCATGTTGATAGCTTGTAATAAACACGCCACACTCTCTAAAAGGTCTGATGGCTGCCAGAAAGCTTTGAAGTAAGATCTCACCTCCTAACCTACCACCATTTCACATCTCCTGTTGCTTTGTTTTGTTCTTATTAGGGAGCCGGCAAACACTTCAGGCGCATCACCCACAACAATACATCAAAAACCTCTGTGTACGTGCATGTACATTCATTTATCTTTGTCATAGGTAGTTTTGGGATGCCTTGTGAAAGACTGCACACCTTCTAAATTGCATCTGCAGAGTGAGCTTCTAGCTTGTCAAGCATGTGACCTAGAAAGGCGGCAAACAAGGGGTTCTCTCTCACGTTCATACATACTTACATACACATAGATGCAAATATTGGACAGGCAGGTAGAGCACGAGGGCCAGTTTTATAAAGCATCAAATATTCATGTGGGTCTGTGAAGTGCCTGCCAGGTTTCTTGGCCCCTCAGGTATGCTCCTGCCTGTGCTCCTTTATCACTGTCTGACTCCATAGACCCTGAAGTCCTGGATTCTTCATAGTTGTATGATTGGGCTGTATGGTGGTGCCAAGGGTTTGAAGCCCCCCCCCCCTTGAACTGGCCATCTTTCAGCACAGCAATGTAATATTATATGACAGTTTGGCGTAATGCCTCCCACCAGCCATTGGCACGGTGAACCGGACCGACCGAGTGCTTCTCTGCTTTGTTTATGTCACATTTACTATGGGTGCTTCATTCATTATTTATGAGATGTTTGTTCAGGAGGTCTCTTGGCCTTAAACCAGAGAAGAAGAAATTCAGTTCATCACACTTTATTGCATAACTAGACAGGAACTCATTCCTGTGTCCTCCTGTGAGGTCCTGAGTGGTGTTCAATAGACTTCTAGTGTGTTCTGATGCTCCAAAGATCAACGGGAGGAGTGAGAGAGAAAAAGAGAAAGAGAGAGAGAGAGACACTCTGACTCGACACACACTCAGACTCTCTCCTCACTTTGCCGTCTCCCATCACTTTCCCCCCTACACCGCTGCTAACCCACACCTCCGATCTTCTCCCGCATCAACTTCAAACTCTAACCCAGTTTAAGTAATTGATGGAGTGGAGGAAGGAGACTTTCACTCGGTAGAGGAGCAGCTGTCAGCCACAGAGTTGCAATAAAGACAACCGCCCGAGGGGATAGAAGCAGACGGAGAGCAGCGGGAGACAGGCGAAGGCGAGAAATAAAAGGAGAAGACTGCTTGAGGTGACCAAGTGGCGATGGAGGCGCTCGGCATGCGTGATTATCAGCATTAGGGAGCACCGCTTCTAGAGAGCGCTCGCTTTGTGAAGGTGGATTTACAAAGTGACCAGAAACTGACCGCCCTGATCTAGCTGTTTTGTTTTAACTTGACGGATTATCACCAGAACCATGAACGTGTCGCCACCAGACCGGAGGAAAAACGTGCGAGAGCTGGTTTTGGAGATTGGCATCCGGGTGCTGCTTTTCGGAGTTTTTGTGTAAGTAAAACCTTCGAACAGCTGATTTAACAAAAAAGCTAATGCCATTATGGACCCTGAGGGTGATATCCAGTTTCATGACTGATGTTATCCATGTGTCTACATGCTTGAACTGCTGTATTTAGGGTATATTTGTCGCGGTGTGTGGTGCTGCATGGTCACTGTAGTAAGGCGCAGTTAATGGTCACATCAGTGCTAAAAGACTAGACAGATGCTGCGTTAACAGGTTGCAAAAAAACAAGTTGTATACAGCAGCATTTAACTTCAAGTCATTTTGTCACCATTCTTTGATTGCACTTATATTAAGTATCATTTCATAGTGGACATTTTGTCTGATTAGAGATGGTAAAAGAGACACAGTTTATTTCCCTCAAACAGACAGTAATCCAAAGGGAAGGCAGTGATGAATGTGCTCAATACTTTCTTTGCAGCATGACTCCAAACTAACCCTAAATATGAATTATGAAATGTTTGTCTACTCTATCCTGGAGGCATTAATCTTCGTTTGCATCATGGTTGTGTCTCTGCTTTCCTATGATCTGATAAAAGCTCCAGGTCTTATCTGAAATGACTCACCTTGCTGCAGCTTTCATTCTATCTGTGGGGGAAAACTCAAAATTGTTTGGCTGCATAGACCGCATAGACTGCATAGCCAGTGTTCATTATGTTAACATGTCCTGTGGCTAAGGGGTCCAGCTGTGCATGTGCTGTCACCCTACAATGATCATACAGCCTGATGATGCATGCTCACAGTGTGTGACATGCGGGAAACTCAACAGGAGGCATGAAACATGTCAGGAGTGGATGAAATGGACTGTTGCAGTGAAGCCTCCTGGTGAAGCCCTTTGTGTGAGTCTGCTGGATTCACATTAGTGGCTGATTTCTTATTGCATCAGTGCTCAAGGCCATATAAAAAAGCAATTTCACACAATATCATCATCATCAACTAACTGCTGCATGCTGTCACAGAAGCCCCCGTCTATCACAAAGTCCTTGATCGCCGTAATGGTTTGAGTGTCACTCCCCAAATTCCCTCTACGATACACAGAAAGCAAGTTAAGAGCCAGTAAACCGTGCTTGTAATGGGGCCCCCCATTAGTAAACTGCTCACATGCCGACTTTTTCAGTCCCCATAATAATACATGGGCTTTGGATATTTGTAGAGCTGTTCTTACCTTACTGTGTTGGAGGATCATTCTTTTATGTGTATGGCAAAATCAGGCTTGAGAAGAAAACTGAACAAATACAGGCATAGAAATACTAGAATACAAAAAGATGTAACACACACACATTAACTTGCATACAAAAATAGGTCAACACTTAAATATGAATTCAAATTCCATTATGTATTTTATAAAATATGTGAACATATAACCTAATTGATTAGATTGGCCCAGTTGAGACAGTATCAGCTCGATATTGGTGCATTCCTACTGCTTTTTTCTCAGAGCAGTGCCTTTTACTACTGACCGCACACTATGCAACACCACTTGCTTTTACACACATCTAATTTTCATACCTGCTCTGTGTTTCGTCCAGCTTTGGCAGTGTGGTGATATTTGAGCATGGTGCTGTTGTGATTGCATAGGGAATCACAGAGCTGCTACAGCCTAATTCCATTCTTTTATTAATTATATTTTATCTGGATTAAAGTTGTAAAGAAAATAAACACATTCATACACCTTTTGGCTTTATGCTTTAGATTAAGAGTCTTAACATTTCATAGGAAAATAACAATCATGACAGGAAGCATTTCATCTGATTTGGTCTTTTCTTTGGGACTCACAGTAAGTGTTGCATTGAATTTCTTAGCAGATCTGAGAGAGCTGCTCTCTGGCTCTGTGGGGCAGCAGTGCCCTGTTCTTGTCACACCTCCAAGCCTGAGGTGAGAGAAGAATAATTGGGGTCACCTAAAATCTGTTGTTATCTTGAGTTAAGGTGTAAAGGACATTGTGTAAGCCTTTGTGTCTGCTGTTCAGAATAGATGTAATGTGCTGTAGTTTTATCTTAGAAAGAAAATGGCATTCTTATCTGTGTATGTTTACCAATTAGCTTTAGCAATCATCCTTTCTTCTAAAATGCTGCTGCTCTTAATATATTTTCATTTTATTGCAATCTGCCTCTGCAGCTCACAATTACATTTTAATAAGACGAAAGTCCCTTTTTTCAATTTGTTGTTTATACTCCTTCATAATTGTGACTATACCAAGGGATGCTGAAATTGAATCCATTAATCCTTTAGTTTGGGCTCATAGGCGGATAATCAGAGATCACACATTTGAGTTCTGTCATTGTTTTTGTCTTTGATTCTGATGAAATAATTCTCACTTTGACTGTTCACCCAAACAAACTGTTGTTTTTCTCAACCACACAATAAAACATGTCTCTGAGGACTGATTTTGTTTGGGAGGACAATCCCTTCGTTATTCCCTCAAATTTGACTTGAATCAAAGCGAACATTACTTTTAATTTGCCTTTTCTTGCCAAGCTGCCTGTCTGATCCGTTCCTCAAGAGGTGCATCGACCTTAAGTCACGGGCCAAGTTTGAGCCATAAGGTCAACCCTGGGCTATCAAACAGCTAATTCTATGCAGTCATCATAGCTTGGTGAGCACCACAGGCGTCACACTTCTCCTGAGAGCACAGCAAAAAGTTCAATCTAAATGGAAATAGATCTTTGACATTTATAAAAATGGGAGAAAAACGAAAGCGGCTTCATCAGAAAACAATACCGTTATTTTTCTTCCGTGGCTAGCTACTCAACACAGAAAGGAAGGATAATGACATGGGCGCTATTTCACTTTACTTGTAATCCGGTGCGAAACAAGAAGAGCTTAGACGAATACCCAGGAAGTCATTTCTTCCTTGAGTGGTGGTGCGGCACAGCTTTTTTCCTCAACCGACACACAAGCTCAGAGTTGACGTTTCTACGTGTTTGTTCATAGTTACACACTTCAATAAGATTCAAATAAATATAAGATTACTGTCTCAAGAGAGAACAGGGGACAAAGCAAGGACGAAAGAGACGTGGAAGATAAGAAGGAGGACATGGAGTTATAAGGATCTAGATTGTTTTGCGATTTTACAGATTAAATCCTAAGGCATAAAAATACCTTTTTTTATCAATGCAATCTAAAAGTTGTGCGATGGAGCAATTCGCTAGAGAAGAGGGCAGATGTTTTTTGGTCTGATGTACAAAACAAAAAATAACAGATCTGTTTATGCCGGGGCTAATAATTTGGATTTAAACTGAATTTACTCTTTTATTGCAGAGTATTATTGTGACTGAGTCAGAGTCTTGATTGTTACATTGAAAAATGACAGAATATCCAATACAAGACAAGCTTAATACCATTGACACAGTTTTGGAATTGTAGGGATCACAACATAGTTATCGTCATCTGAGGTTAACAGCTTGCACTCTAAAATATCACCAGAGTTGGGCTCACTGCATATCATCCTCTCCACTTATAGGAGGGCTTAGAAGCAGTGCTGGGTTTCAGCCCAGAGCCTTGGCAAGAGTCAATAAGTTTTGTGAGATGTTGGGAAAGGGCAGAATGTCAGGCTCTCGACTGTTTAAGAATAAGCGGATTGTTTAGCTTGTATGATGAGAATGTAGGCTCTTGGGCTCTCGTTGTAAAGGATCGGTTACCGTGTCATCAGGACACATTGTCTCTGTAGTATGAACCAAAAAAGAGCATTTCTAATCTCTGAGAATGTTACGGCTATTTATGTTATGGTAATTGGATTAATCATAAAATCCTTAAGATTTAAGTCTCGGCTGATTTTGCAACACCCCTGGCTATCGTTAAAACAGCAAATGTTGTTTTATAATGCAATAAACATTCTGACTAATTTTCACAGAAAAACAACAGAGGAGCAACTGGTGTATGCGTTCACAGTCCAGGCAAATCATATTTTTTTAAATGAATATGCCAAAAAGGATCTGATTGTGATTTCATGCTTCACACGTTATGAATAGTTTTCCACACAACAGGGCACGGTGGAGTTATTCATCTAAGGCATATTAAGGCAGTTCTAATCCAGTTTAGACTGAAGAATCTTTGGCATTTAGACCCCTCATTGTAATGGGGTTGTGATGCCATGAGTAGTACAGGCACAATCCCCCTGATAGAGTCCTAGAACTATGGGCTTAGATATGTCTCATAATTATTTGTGTGAACATAAAAATAATTTGTGTGTAAATATGTGATTTGTAAATGTAAAACACCATCCACAAATGCATTTAAAAGATTTGCAAACTCACAAATAAATTTGCAAATGTAAAACGTATCTGCAAATACGCAAAATATTTTTACAAATAAAAAAAAGATCTTTGAATATCTCTTAAACATTTACAACTTTCGATCAGGCATTTGTGAATCCATTTTGTATTTGTCGACCAAAAATGCGCTTGTGGATCTCACATTTCAGCTTGTGGATCTCAAATCTCTGCTTGTGGATCGTCTTTTTACACACACAGAGTTTTGAGACAAACTTTCCGCCGGTCTCGGCTAAAATCTACTCGTGTCACTCGGTTATTTTCGGAAAACACGTGATGGCCGGCTGATGACGACATTTCCGCATGGTTTTCAAAGTAAGAGCATGATGTTTTTGTATTATAATGAACAGCGGAACGTTAGATGCATTCTTTATCACCATCATTATTTAGGTTAGCCTTCATAGTAAGGCTACATTACATTTTATAATATTCATTGTGTCCTTTCTACTGTATATGCATATGTGACCTGCTCCATCAAAATCAGTCGCATTGACCCGAAGACACATTTTGAGTTGTATACACTGTTGGAAAGAGGAGATTCCTAGCTTTCTATGATATCAGGATTGTTTTTGTACTCCAAATATTAAGCAAAATATGTCACATTATATTATGACTTTCACCGAGTCATCATTTTGAGAAAAAGGCCTTTAAAGTTTCCTCTTCTCTGGAATCCATCGATCTGATTGATTATTTGCGGAGCAAATGATCAAAATACTACG